TTTAAATAGAGGCTTTTTATTCATTAAATGAGATTTTATTTATATATTTACTCAAAGAATATTAAATCAAAGGTAGTTGAAACGTTGGTGATGTTTCTTCCTCACAAATATGAACTTCTGTAAGGAGATTGGAACAAAATCTGATAAAGTAACTCATTCTCTAAATCTCTACGCTTTATCTTTAGGGATTAAGAGGCCTAATTTCCTTTTAGTAGCTTCCTTTATTTTAAATAAACTTCGTAACAGAAGTTAAAAATCGAATTTATGACTCGCCCTACTGTCGAAATGTTTCAAAATAAAATTTTTCTATTACTTAAAAGCTTAAGTCTTTCAAATACGGTGGAAATTTCACAACAGAAAATTTTTAATCACATTGGGGCTCTCATCATGGCTTTCATTACTCACAGAAAAACAGGAAACTACGCTTGAAAGATATAGAATCTTTCCAAGACACTCTTTTTGGATTATGAATTTTTCAAGGTTATGGAGGATATACCAGACAGGAAATCTAACACACCTTAAGATATTTAAATCATATTAAAGTCTGTAATCACTATTCAGGGGAATGAAATTAGACTTATCCGACTGAGATTTTTTTGGACTGACTGTGAATTTTTTTATAACTCTCCACACGTGTAGATGATTACGGGTTTGATCAGTCATAACTTCCTGTTTGACCTTGAAAGGCGTGACATCCGTAAGACATCTAGGAAACACAGGGATATACTTAGAAATATCTTTTGCGCGAATTGTTATTTATACTAGGTGCAGTAAAATGCCCTCATACAGTGTAAAGTACAGCTAAAATGTCAGTTTATTTTTATAACACATTGTGGCCTTGGTAACCAAGTGATCATGGTTTCCGTCAAGTTGTGGACTCGATGTATCTTGACTTCGATGTATCTTGAATTAAGATACATCGAAAAATTGCCGTGTTGCGGGGCTGATGTACGTTAAATATGTTGAGGCTCGAAGTCTTCCCGTTGGCATGGTTTGGGAGTTAGGAGATAAAAGTACTAACTCAGGTGTCTCCCTCGTCACTTGACTGAGGCTAAAATCTATAAGGTTCGTCTCCTGTTGCCGTCGTAAAGCTTAAATGCTCCTTTAGTAAAAAATCAGTCAATTATTCAACCCATTTTATTCCCTAATAAATTTATAGTTGTATAATTTTTTTTATATTTTTTTTGAAAAAGAAGCTTTAACGTATTAGACATCGTTAATTGATGGCTTTTGTGTCATTTATTTAAAAATTGGGAGTTATTTTTGTTTGATCAGGAAAATAATAAATCAAACATGACATTGATTTAGTTCCTTACAATTTTGAAAAGGAAACTCTTCCTATATCTTAAAAATATTTTTCAAGAGTATGTAAAAGTACTTCAGTAGATCTCTTTTTTTATTCACTAATTTTCCTCATTAAGTTATGGTTATTATTAGTTTTCAACATCAAGCTTTATAATAAAGTACAAAAATGTTGTTGATATGAAAATAAAATAATTTGCAAAAATTACAAGATTTTTTTTAAAATTATTTTTATTTCTAGAGCATCGAAAAATTAAGACAAAATCTATCAAAATTAAAAAAATATATCGAAAATTTCTACAGCAAATTTATTTTGATATTTTTGAACCATAACAAAAATTCTTCAGAATTTTGAAAATTTATTCCTTTATATAAATCAAATTATTTATTCTTTTGTATAGATCATTTGAAAATAATTCTGGATTTTCATTGCATTTTTATTATGACACTAAGGATGTATGATATACATTTTCCTTTCATCTCTATGACCAAAACGTTTCTCCAGTTCTTTCTTTATATGAGACCATTAATTATTTATATAGATGCTGAAAATGCTTTTAAAAAAGCAAAGTATATCAATTTGTAGGAGATGATTTAACCTATTACAACAGAAAATAATAGTTAACGTAAATTTGAATCTAATTATGTATTGGTATTCAAGGATTAAATTTGCAATCTTGCTCTTGAATCTTTCGTACGATTTTCTTTTTGAACTGTGATCTCTTGAGGAAAAAATTATTCATGCGTATTTTCTACTATTATAAATAGAGATATATACATAAAACAAATCTGCCGAAATTTTTTGAATTAAAAATGTATTACTTTTACATAATGAAAGGTTTGATTTGTTTCATTAAAAATCTTGCTACATATATGCTTAAAGGCTTATAAAATACAGGATTTGTAATTTTGAGCCACGATCAGATGTCGAATCTGGTATCTTATCCTCCAAATTTTCATTCGCAATGTAAAGGTGTTCACTAACACAATTATTGTTAATGGTTACTTGTTAGATTTCTATAAATGAACGTTCTTAAGCTGAACGGAAGCTATTGGAGATGGAATTCAGCTAGTAGTAAAGGACGGCCTTTGAATTGGTTCCTAATTCAATTTACTCCTGTCCTATGCTGCATGATGACTTAGAGGTTTGAATTCCTTCAACGGTCAGTAACAGCCTAGAGAAAATTTCTGTTTTGGGTGTTAAAAATTTAATTCTCTGACTCTGCCAATTAAATTCTAGTCGGGCAAACGTCAAAACCTATTCTGATCTTTTACAGGAGGGTTACAATTACTTCCGAAGCGCTCGTAGCTCTTCCATACATTTCAAAATATTCTAAGACCCCATTGAAATCGAGACTTATGGCCATGATTCGATCCTTACTTAAAAGGCTACAAAACTCATGGCCTTACCAACTGACTGCCACAATCTTGATCGTTAGATGAATTAGATATTTGAACAGTTTGGGGGAATTGAATACTTTATAAGTAAATAAACTAGGTTTTCACTAACCTGCTATATTTTAAAAATAATTGCCACACCGCACCATAGTTGTTTGGCTATGACAGTAGCTAATTTACAACAACCTAATGTCTATTAATAACTTATTTATATACTCTCACAGTCAATGAAAATACCGCGTCTAGAAAAAAGTATTCGTTACATTAAATTTTATACACATAAAGATATTTTTAAAAGATATTAGAGATATGAAATTCAAAGATGCAGAATAATCAATGAAGGAACTATGGGCCTTAGACCATGCCTCTTCAATGGGTAGTTGCACTGATGCTTGCTGCTATACAAACCGCAAAAATGATGCGGCATTGAGTCAAATATATGCCTGATATTGATTTGGTGCAGACTGGCGCACAATTGTACAAAGGTTTCTAAATATGGAATATTATGGCATGTTTTATGAGATCCAAGACATGCAATACATGAGACTGATCGGGGGGTTAGTAATGCTTAAGAAGTATTTGCATGTGATGTAAGAAATCATGAACAGCTTATATCGTATGTGGTCATTCATTATCTATTTGAAATAGAGCACCAGAACTCCTGTTTAAAATTGGAGCACTTGAATCCAGGCAATATCATTCACATACCGCTGGGATGCCATTATACCATCAACCAATTCAAGTGAAAACGACTATTAATGGATATGGCATGCCTGACTATACTACCTGCTGTTTGGGATATGTGTCTCTTGACGACAAATTCAGGATTGAGTCTCTCTGGAGTCCTTCCACACTCAGATACGATGATCATCTGACCTTAAGACGAAGCGTGACTCGTCGTTGAGCATCGTGAAACTCCATTCCACAACTGATCATGTTTCTTGCCACCATTGCAAGAGGAGCCACCGTTATTTCAGTGTTAAAGGCAGAACTTGTAAAAATATTAACTTCTTTGATGCAACACGTCATGGCTTTTAAACTCACCCGAATGTCTGCAGCTCTACGAATAGAGAATCGTGTCGTCATTGCGTTTACGTGTGCTTATAAAACGATTTTTCTGTGCTCCCTACTGGTGTTTTTTATGGTCCTTTCTCAACCAGTGCTCCAGGAGTTACTTCCTTCAAGTGCTGTCTGATAGTATTGTTGCTTCTGCCAATACTGTCTGATAGTAACTATTCTCATACCTATTCAAGACACTGGTGGTACGGTAAGTAAATCACTCTACGATTTGCATCCTAAAGATGAATCCTCTATCGAAGTTTGCAAAAAGTTCATATTGTCGTCTATGGCTCTAAAGCTACGGTTTCCCAAAATTCCCTTTAGAAGAGAGTTTTATAATCGAAAGAAGGAATGAAGCAAGTTTCATTAGACATATTACAATTGTATCTACAGTTTGGAAGAAATTATTATAAGAGTCCGTAACATTTATAATAATAAAATATGAAGCATTAATAATTAGAAAATAATTAATAATGAAAACAAATTGTTATAAAATCGGATTTTATTTTATATTAAATTATTAAATTATATTTTCTTATGAAAAAATCTAGAAATATTGAAAATCATGAACGTCGGATACAATATGATGAAAAAAACTTTGGAAAACGATATAAGAAGAAAATAAATTTGTAAGCATTCATAAACAATTAAAATATATTACAAATGTAATTAAAATTATATTTTAATTAGAAAGTTTCTAACAGTTTGAATTTACCTTAAAATTTTGACGATTTTAATAACGAAAAGCCATACTTACCACAAATATTCGGATCTCTTTCACACTGTTCTCGAGATACTGTTGAGAAAACGAACTTTTTATTAGGAAACCAGAGTACATAAACACACATTTCTCTCTCTATACACACACACAAACACACACACACACACACACATATATATATATATATATATATATATATATAT